ATACGAAGTTGGTTAGACCAGGGTCAACCGTCACGTTCGAACATTTTCGGGATTTTTGCGACCCCCTAGCTCTCGAGGGGGTCCAGTTGCGACCCCCTGTTTTTGTTAATAAGAGTGCTAGACATGAATCCGTTGCGCCAGAAAGCGTCTGCGCGTCGTCGCGTCGGCCTTGGAGCGCGGCAGGTATCACCGGGCGCTGGAAGAACGGGACGCGGCGAAGAAAAAATTTTAGAGGGGAATAACTTTCTTGGGACGTATTTTTTGACTTGTTGAGGTAGATTTTGATTGTGCCTGAGGTGCGCTTCAGAAAACTACAAGGATTGCCTAACTCTCCGGAAAGTACTTCTGTTAGAAGTGGAAAACCCAAAATTCTAAGAAGGCGCACCTTCAACTTTGAAGGCCCATAAAATCTTTCGTATGCGACATTTTGGAAATCTGTAAAAAGTTTCAGAAACTTCAAATATTTCTCTAACAATAGTATAAAAAGTTTAGTGATTGTCCCCTTTTTCAAAAAATTGTCCCGTTCGAACATTTTTCGTGCAAAAGCGAGTTTTTGGGCTTTCAGCGACCATAACTCACTTCATTTTCATTTCTGTGATGCACTTTTTCATGGGGTGAAAGTACAGGATTTGCTCTTTCTAACAAGCCCCAAACCGTTTTTCAAAGTTATTTTTCGAGAAAATCACACGTTCGAACATTTTGGGGGGTTTTGCCGAACACTTTTTTTGAAATCGCGAGTTTTTGGGCTTTAAGCGGGCATAACTCACTTCATTTTCATTTCTGTGATGCACACTTTCCATGGGGTGAAAGAGCAGGATTTGCTCTTTCTGGCAAGCACCGAACCGTTTTTCAAAATACATTTTCCGAGAAAATCACACGTTCGAACATTTTGTTCCCATAGGTTTTTGAGCAGCACATGCGAGTTTTTGAGCTTTCAGCAATAATAACTTCCTTCAAAGAACTTGTTGGGGAGGGGCGAAGACATTTTTGAAGACTACGAGATTTCTGCTTTCTTATGTGTTTACCGTTGTCTGGAAGAATCGTCCTCAGAAAATTAGGTCCCGAAGAACTTTAATTTCAGCCCCGAGAAGTCAAACCTTTCATAGGGATGCATTCTCTATTCCTCAAGGAAAACACCGTAATTTGCCCAAAACTGTCTCTCTGTGCATAATTAATCGAATCTAATGCGGTCTGCACAAACAATTCTTGCCCTCGGATACGCCACGCACGCGCCTGTGGCTGGCAGTCCTCGAAATTGCGACCCCCTTCCGACCAAAATGCGACCCCTTCGTTCGAACAGTTCGAACGGACGGTTGACCTGGTTCGGAGCGAATGGGGGATCATTTGTGCCAATTGAAAAAAGCCAGAGAAATCCGTCAAGATACCCAAGTGTTCCTATTGCCCGTTCATTTTCGACCGGACTGAGCGCGCCGAAGAAGTCTTTCGAGCAAAAAAAACGTCGAACGGTGCTATCGGTTCAAGTATGTGCAAACGAGCTCCTTAAGCTGGTTGCTAGCTCGTCCATTATCGGAGGTCAACATTTTGCGCCTTCTTGACGGATTTCTTTGCTTTTTTCGCCACTGGGGCATTATTCAGCATCTCCACTTCCACTATGAACCCAGTCCAAACTTATCGTAATCCCTCGCTCTCAAGGAAAAATGCGCACTTTAAAAACCGTTCCGGAGAACAATTTTTACCAAAACTGTAAGTCCAGCATGGACACAACTTGCATCGGGCAGCGCCTGCAAGGGTTGTGAGCTTTTCGATGTGAGGATGCCAAGAACATACCTGAGATCTAGTTCCAGCTCCAGCGCTGACCATGGTTCGAGAAAGACTGCAGGAGTTTGGAAAAACCGGAAAGAATCCACTCAACAACGACGCAAAGCCCATTGCATAGAACTCCTGAAATGGATTATGAGTCCGTTGAAGGGAGCTCAAACATCACCAAATGTTCGTCTAACTGTCAATTTCCATCCGCCTCAGAAAGTAATATTTTCTAGTCAGTCACCTGGTTGGTATCGATTTCATATTGGTACTTCTTCGCAAGTATTTTGGCAAGAGAGACGTGTATAGCCATTACCACAACGGATATCGAGATCGCATCAACGACAAGCGATGGCATCAGTTCGAAATGAGGCAAAAGCGGAGCTGGCAGGCTGCAAATAAAGAGTACTTGAAGAACAGCGTTTTTGAAGGATTTTTTTAATGTTCGATCCGATCAGGCCGGCGAAACATGATGCCCACCGGTTTTTCTTTTTCAGATCTCAACTGTGTTGAGTTTAACCCATTCGTGACAATGTCAGCCACCGGTGGCTGACAAAGCTCTCACTCGGGACAATGGTATTACTGTGGCTGCAGGGCTTGAAATGGAATTTGGAAAGTTTTCTTCCATGAAAAGAATCTTCATACCCTCGCTCATCTACGCCAGCCCTGGGCAGAGGAAATCTCCCTCCACTCGAATTTTATTGAAGAAAAATCTCCTGACGCTGCTGCTATTGCGCAATCCTGCGCGGTCGCGAATGGGTTAAAAATGCGTGAGCCATCCTTTCCAAAGAAAGAACTTCGGAGGTATCTTCTGAAGTACTTTTGAACGTTGCTCTTGAAAGATAGCGTTGCGATGTATTCGTCGCTGGCTGGGAATGAATATGAAGACTAACGGATGCAACAGTGAAGAAAAAACAAGGGAAACGGCCTAAAACTTGCAAGACGAGATACTTGTTCTCACTGCAGATTTACGCATTGGGTGGACCTGGGGCTGACGGCATTAACGTGAAGGCTCTGCTTTACACTGCTCAAATGGTTCGAGTCTGACGCGGAGGACCAGTAGCTGGGGCACCTAACCGGAGGAAAGGCACAGCCGCGGTTAGGCTGCTACGGCTGCACCGGACGCAAGCGGAGCCCGAACGTCTGAACGTTAAGCAAAATACACCCAAGGAACTCGGCCTTCTTTCAATCACACACATTTTCCCTTCTTCAATCTCCTTACTCTATCACCTGCGTTTAGGAACTAATTGCTCTACATGTGAGGAAGAGAGCGTTGAATGCCCACTGATATGCAGCGTTTTCTTCTTCATCACCAGAGACAAGATGTAGAGCATCACAGCAAGATCAAGTTTCCAGTGCACTTTGGCGATAGGTGTCATCAAGTAACTCTATCAAGTAACTCTTGGAGTTGCTCCTACTACTTCAAATCGGCAATCATCCTTTGATAAACAGGGGTACCATTGGGTGGCAGTGACCAGACACCGCTAGCCTCCCACCTCATTCCCTTGCAAACAATCTTCATTTTCAATCATCCATGATCATACAATACCTCGAAACTCTCAAAAAAAGAAAGAAAACTGTCTATCGCAGACTTTGAGATCAATGGAGCTTCATGCTGAGTTTTTGATTGGAACGGCAGCGAATAAAGGAGGAATTCACGATAAGAACGAAGGTCAAAGAAGGGGAAAATTGCATAGTTGGGAGACAGGCGGACCTCCTGAGGGTGCTGACCGACGCGCAATTGGCAGCGAAAGATTTGACCTCGGCGATCTAGCATGGCTCACTCTTGGCGCGGTTGGCGGGGTACCCGACAGGAGGCCCGTCGCGCGGCAAGAAGGCAGAGTCAGCGGACGAGTCGCAGCGCGTGATGTGCGATGTAGGACGTACAATGGTACATTCTATTTAACTTGACGCGAAATCACTACAGTACGCGCTGCGACTCGTCCGCTGACTTGCCTTGTTGACGCCTGTCGGGTACCCGTTGGAGGGGTAAGCCCACCGACTATCTAATCACTCGCCGCAGGTCTATACGTGGCGAGTGATTAGATAGCAGAGAGAGCGTAGTGTTGAAGAGGGCACAGCGATGAGAGTCGCATCAATGCGCAAATAACACATTGACGACAACGCGGGGGATATATATCCCGCGCATTGCAGGCCATGTCGGACCGTGCGGGATATATATCCCCCGCACCCATTACACTCATTTTTTTCGCGCACGCCTGATTCTTTTAGAAGTTTCTTGTATTCATTCCATGGAAGAGACCTTGACGTAGCTACAAACATAGTGGCCCATAGAATGGTCACGTATGCTTTAATTTAGAGGAGGATTTCTGAACCATACGAAATCTTCAGTTTAATAAATTTTTCGTTTACTTTTTTTTTATGAATGTGAAGATTTAAATAGTAGTAGAAGTAGATACGGAACCTTAGAGATGACAATATGTGTGTTTTGATTGGAATAATCAACGTAAAATTGCTTTGAAGTCCATTGCAGCTAGTTCTGACCCATATTTCGCTGTTTCATTGTTACTTCATGTCTTTCCATCGAAATTTCACTACTATGCAACCTGAGTTGGTTGTGCTTATTACAATTTACTCATCCGGTTTTGTACTGATCATTATTCATGTACTTATCACTCAAAATCTGCTTGAACGACCTGAGGCGAGCGCGCCCGCAAAATCGCCGCGGTCCCACGTGGCCAAAAAAGCCAAAACTCGCATTGTCGTCAATGTGTTAAAGCAACAGTCCCAGCAGGGTGGGCGTGGTCAGAAACGAACTGCAATCCCCTCGGCCGATTCCGACCACGCCCACTTCAGCTCCCTCCCTAGCGGCTTTCCAAGGTGAGTTTTTGTTCAGTCACACTTCTTACGTTCTTGACTAGGGGCTGAACAGCTCCGAAGTGGGAATCGGCCAAGGGGATTGCAGCCGTTTCCGACCACGCCCACCCTGCTGGGACTGTTGCTTTAACGAACAGATGGCCCAGTTACTCCAGTTCGGGGCTCCGTTTCAAGGGTTCTCTTCATCCCTGTTCGCAATGACCGCTATATTTCCCATGAGCTAACTTTTCATTGTAAATTCTGCTTAAAACGTAAAGCTCGATTCTAGAAGATCCACAATATTGGCCATTTATGATTTTCACACGCAAGAGAGGAGGCATACGTTTCTGCTCGCAGAAACACCTGAGCTGAGGTCAGAAGACTTTCGCTAATAGGAGGCTATGCAAATGGAATCGAATTGCTTCTACGCCAATGTTCCTTGAGACGCTGAAATACTGCACTGCTTTACAAGCACCAATGTCATTACACAAAAGAAGCGGCGAAATAGAGCCGTAAGTTTAGCAACGCTAGCCCTACAAACTTAAATATCTCCACTGCTGTAGGCAATAATCATAAGGGCACTTTAACCCTTCAGGGATTTTTCCGACGGTTGAGACACCAAAGTTAGACTTGAGATGAGCAAAATTAGATATCAATGTCCCGACGACGACCTGAAGCATTATAACAAGAATGCGTAAAGGCTTAGGAGCACGACAAAGAGAGACTCCTCGAAACACTTACAGCGATGAGTTCCATGGGAAAAGGCACCGGACAATGAAGACGCTTCTTCACGAAAGGGTTCACCACATGCTTTCCAAGCAGAAGCATGAGAATCGTCAACGCTGACAACCCAAGAGTGACCAAATTCGTTCTTCCTATGCCAGCACAGAGATCATATAGCTTCTGGAATAATTAATCTGTATAAAGGTGTAGTACGTTCTGGATGAAGGGCTCCAGCGCATTCAACATACGCATGAAAACGTGACGCGCATGCGCACCACTCTCACTAACCGTTCTGCCTGACTATCCGGCATTCACGTGTTTCACAACCGATTTTGTCCGCTACATAGCCCAGCAAATTCTGCACCCACACCAGAAAAAGTGGAAAAAAAATCAAAAAGAAGATGTCCTGATGCACACTTAATAGGTTGTCCTCAATGGGTTAATGAACGCTTCAAGGTCAACTGAAACTCGGAAGCACTATTCGCCTTGGAAATTCGGAGAACCATAGAAATACACGGAACTGACCAGAATTGCATTCGCCACGCCATCCCGTCGTGGAAGTCCGGTAAGTCCAAAGACATCCTTGAGCTGCGTGATGAAAACGTGAGCAGAAGCCCCAGTTGTGAACCCAGCAACAACTTCATCTGAGAAGTACGTCGTGACAAAATCGAGGCCGAATACCGCTACCAGTACCTAAATGAGTCTATGAATGTAGCAGCGCAGAGCTCTAGTTGTTTTTGCCATCAGTGGCCTCGGTCTCAGAGAGTTCAAAGTCCCAAAATGCTCTCGAGCGCTTAACCAGAGGGGCATGCACATGAGTGTGCTATGCCTGTTCTCCTGGTTGAATTCTCTACCAACCATTCTCCACCATCGCGTTCATATAGTTAGACACAAAAAGAGCGATAAAATGAGTTTACCTGGATGATACCAATGAGCACAGTCAGAGCCGCGGCGACTTGATTAGGCGTAGGTGTTGCTGCAGGCTCAGTGAAATTCCCCAGCATACTGGATAAGGTGTCTTGTGGTTCTGTGAGCCGATGCACCGCTTTACCAGCCATCAGCGCAACCACAGCGAAAGTCCCTTAAAATCAAAAGCTTTCAGAAAATATTCAATTAGACTGAATCGCAGCTATACGACAGTAATTCCGCTTAACACACTGATAGAAAATAATAAGTACAATAAGTAAGTCTTAGGTTCTGGATTAGCACCTGCTTCATATTATTTCAGCGTCTCCTGAAGCTTACCTCTCGCCGGATGTTACTGAAAGCGTCAGGGTCATGAACTTTCAAGAAAATGAAGGCCCTGGCTATTGCTGAATGGCCTGCTAACAATGAAGTTTTTCCAGGCTGCAGACCACAAATACCCGGGGTCAATAAGATTTCACCAATGGAAAGCATCGTATTTGTGACCTTTGGATGTGATGTTGTATTTGTGGTCTTGAGAGGGAGTCTTGGTTGTGGAAGCAATATGCTAAAATAGACGAATGGACGGAAGAGTAAATAACAATCCGCCCTCCCCGCTCGACGACAGTTTTGGAGGAATTTCGGAAGGAGTTCGACTGTGATGGCGGTTTTGGAGACACCATGAACCATTGAAGGAGGTCAGATGTGGAGAATTCTTCTAGGAGGGAGGTGGGAGAAAACTCATAAATGTCGCAAAAACGGCCCAACGAACTGTTGATCCTACATACATACATATCCCTCTGTCTCTGTATATATCCTCAACAATCAGTCCCACCCATCAAAGCCTTTCATTTTTCCCCTGAACAAATTTTGGTTCTTTCCGCCTATCATCCATTCCTTTTCTCCTTTTTCCTGGCATTCAACTCTTCCTTTCTTATGTTCCTTTCTGAGCACATTTCCGCCATTTTGGTAAGCTCTGCTGGTGCTACTTTGTCACTAGCATTCGGCCAACAGTCTCAACTTCCCTTCGTCAAGCTACGTAACTATTGTCCCCATGCTCGGTTACCGCCCTCTTTTCCCTTCTTGAAACTTTCCTAAGAAAGCAATGGAGCCATACGAACTATTATTTTCCGTATCGGGGAGAAGTGGCAAGTGTGCCATTTTTTTCAATGCATTATTCGAAACCCAATTCCCAAATGAAATCCTTCGGGCCAGCCTATTCCTTAGTCTTACATTTCTGGGGTGAGGTAGTAGTTGATACCAGTCTTGCCAACGAGCTTAGTTAGACTGAGCTCATATGGCTAATTTCCTGAAAATCATCATTCCCAGGTCAAATTGCCTCTAAAATACCGCTGCTACGATTCGATCAAGAGAAGATGGTCATTCCAAAAATAGTTGGTCTTGTTTTCATAGACGCTTGTCACGTTCTTTTTAAAAAATATACATAAAATATATATCATATAAAAGTATACTATATCATATAAAAAATGGAATCCAAGAACACCAACCTGTTGAGCAATGTCGTGAAGTGCCGAAGAGCATATACGATAACACAGGAAAGAATGAAGTATAAAGACCAACTACTGGATCAACACCGGCTAGCAGTGCGTAGGCGATACCTTAACCGATGCTTTTACCTGGTATTTGCATGCTCATGTAACATTTCAGAAATGGCAAAACTGATGTTTCTTAATTTATTTATACCAGTTTGGCTGCGCACGCATTCGCGTGCATGAGACGGGGCTCAGCGGTAAAATCGGGCCCATCAGTATTTTTGTCTTGATTTTAGCTTTCTGCTCGGTACATCTTACTTACGCCGCAAACTCCGCCCACATCCGGGTGTGCCACGCCCAGCGTTCACATTCAACCTCTACTCCTACTTTCACCTCTGGCGTATTTTTTTCAGGTCTCTAAGTCATCTCGGAGCCGAATTATGAGGTCTTGTAAATGGCGTTATGAGTCACGAATTTCTGAGGCAGACCCCGCCCACTTTGGTGCATGCTTAGCCCAACAATGGCATTCAACCCTACTCCATACCTCAATACTTATGCACATTTTCCCCGGTCGCCGGAACTTCTAGGAACCGAGTTATGAGAGCGGTGGCAAACTCCGCCCACATCCGGGTGTGCCACGCCCAGCGTTCACATTCAACCTCTACTCCTACTTTCACCTCTGGCGTATTTTTTTCAGGTCTCTAAGTCATCTCGGAGCCGAATTATGAGGTCTTGTAAATGGCGTTATGAGTCACGAATTTCTGAGGCAGACCCCGCCCACTTTGGTGCATGGTTAGCCCAACAATGGCATTCAACCCTACTCCATACCTCAATACTTATGCACATTTTCCCCGGTCGCCGGAACTTCTAGGAACCGAGTTATGAGAGCGGTGGCAAACTCCGCCCACATCCGGGTGTGCCACGCCCAGCGTTCACATTCAACCTCTACTCCTACTTTCACCTCTGGCGTATTTTTTTCAGGTCTCTAAGTCATCTCGGAGCCGAATTATGAGGTCTTGTAGGGGACGAAATCGAGCTACGTATCTTTGTGGCAAACCCCGCCCACTTTTGGTGCGTGGGTCGCCCACTGATATCAGTCGGCTATCATCTCTTCCCCAACCTTTTTCTACTTTTCTCCCATCTCTGGAACTTATTGGAACCGAGTTATGAAGTACCGTGGCAAACCCCGCCCACTTTGGTGCATGCTCCGCCCGCCAACAACGGTTGACCCCTTTCCCTCTGCCAACCCTCATACGCTTTTTTCCCGGACTCCGGGACTCCTAGGAACCGAGTTATAAGCCTAATTGCAAACTCCGCCCACTTTGATGTAAGCCACGCCCATCCCTGACATTTAGCTTCCCCTCCCCTCCTGACCTCTATCCGTTGTTTTCCGGTCTCTAAGTCATCTCGGAGCCGATTTATGAGCTCTTGTAGAAAATGCTGTCCGCTTCACGACACGCTCCGCCCATTGTGGGCGGGCCTCCGTTCACATCATGCGTGGTGGAAATACCTTAGGCATTGCTCCCCTGCACTAATTTCGTTTCTGGTCTGTAGGCTTCCTCTTAACCGAGTTATGAATATTTTCACTGAGCACCCATTTTCTAGAGAACGCCCCGCCCACCGAGGGTGGGTCTCCTCAGTTCGATCTGGCTTACCAACCCACACCTATGCCCACTTTTGTCCCGGTCTCGAGGCTGTTTTGTGACTGAATTTGAAATCAACCGATGCACGCCACGCCCACTGTGGGCGGGGCTCCGCTTGGCTGATGTGTGTTTTTACTTCTAGGGATATGATATACCCATCCCAAACTTGACCTGGACCCTGTAGGTTGTTGTTCGCTTGATACCGAATTTCGTGACAGACACACAGACAGACAGACGACAGACGAAGCGCTTTATAGTTAGTAGGATGGGACTGCAGGAGCGGGGCAAGGTTTTCTATACTTTTTTTTCACCCCTCCTATATAGTTTTGATGAATTTTGAGTTGTTTTTGTTTGCTTGAGCTCCCCGCATCTACGAACGAATTTTTCTGCTTGAAGCTTTAAATTGCCTAATCCTTTTCTTTTGTATGATAGTAGCGTAGGGGCCAGTGTCAAAAAAGGTTAAAAGCACGCATAATAGTAATTTTTATCGCCACGTTCGACGTTGAGTCTGTAATTACGACAGACCCGGTGAGGGAAACAAGAGTGTAGGTGTTGACCCCTTGCCCGACGTAGTCGTAGATTATCCTCGAATTCCCTGCAGCGTATCTACTCGCAGTAAGTGTTATTATTACCCTGGTAGGGAAATATTCCCAAATCTTCTGACTTCCGCTAAAAGTTGACAATTTCCTCACCTTGGGGTACGTGCATGATCCCAACTGTGAGACCTCCTATGAAGTCATGGAGAAGATCCGTTTTGAATGGATACCTGAAACATAGCATTTGATGGGGAAACCGTTTTTTTTTGTAACAAATGCAAATGAGGTATGTTGTCTGGGAGAAAAAGGCGTTTATTTATTTATTGTCTTATTTATTCCAACAGATCGCTCAATATTCAGGAGAAGCAAGCTGGAAATTACACGAGTTCATTCCAGGCAGGTGATGAGGATTGGGGCCTTTCTGCCCTCATCTTGTGAGCCCTTCTGAAACCTCCTTCTGGTACCCTTAAACCCACAATCGGAATTATTTTAATTGAATTTTAAACATGAGGTGCAAGTAAAAGTACGAACAGAAGGAAGATAGGTGATGCTTCAAAACGAGGGAGGGGTCATTATGGGGAAAATTTTCGTCACAATGGTTCCTCATTAGAATATCCCAATGTAAGCCGAAGTCGTTACCGCGCGCAATGCACCATGGTGACCCATATCAGCTGCGACAACTTGCACAATTCACGCGTTCGGGCGAAATCTTCAATGCTGTGCCGTAGCACTAGGATCTTCTGACCCACTCCTTCCGCATCCATTTCGCTATAAAACATAAATAAGCTTTTCATGAACAAAATATCGTACCGAGGCAGCCAGAGGATAATCGGCATGAAGGAGGCGACCGTTTGGAGAAAATTTCGTGGTGAAGTGAATGGTCGCCAAAATTTCTTCGTGACCGACGCTACTTTCATACATGGCGTCTTTCCATAGTGAGGCAGTTCATATTCGAACTGCCTGTCAAATTCCTCCTGGACGAGCAACAAGTAAAAGATACAGTAATTCATAATTAGACAGCAACAGTCTGTACCGGCTAACCTGGTTCATGGTCCGTCCATGGCAGCTGCTTGTCAACGTATGGTTGCTAGTTAAATGCAGCTGTTCGAAGTGAACTTAGAAGTTCAATCTGGAAAATAAACACTATCACTGAAACTTCTGTTGCTAAAGCAGTTGGCGAGGAAATATTCGACAGAATAAGAGCAATGCACACTTTCAACGTATTCGAGGGAGAGTAGCTGAATCGAAATCCATTTTTTTCATAGGTACGCATATTTTTTATTCATTAATTATTATGCGTCCGATCCGACGCACTGGTCTGAACCAGAAAATGCGCTCAAAACGGAAATAGCATGGATGGAAAATGATACAGTAATCCGTCACATAAATAGTAGTAAGGTAGTCAATCGTGAGTAAAGTGAAAGAAATGAAAAGAAAAGAAAAATGAAAAGAAATCTTCCGGGCGGCTTCCCGTAATGAATAGAATTCTGAAATACATTGTAAGGCACCAATTGTAAACAAATGTAAGCCCGAGGGCCGTGAGGTTATCGCTGTGAGGGTGGGCGAATGATTTTCGTGATAAACATCTACAGTTTAAGCCAGCACCGTCGGTCTCATGGCTATGACCAACTACGCAGATCAGGTAATTTATCCGCCTGTCATAAATCAGCCCGCGCTCACGTGGAAGCGGAAAACTCTGCGACTGTTAGGTTCAAGTTTGAAAGTTAATCCATTTTTTTCTGCTATGATTGTAGTTAGATGGTTTGACCTCGATCCCTCTTGGTTCTTGTTCATTTATTAGAATTTATTCAGTGCTGATTTAGCGTCACCGCGCCAACCCTGCGTGTAAAAGCGGGTCATTTGGGGCGCATAAATAAAGAGATAAATAAAATAAATAAATCTGTATCTGACAGTGGAAGGAAACATGTTCACTTTGCTGCAACTTTTTCCTTGTTGTGCATCTGCTTGCCTGTCCTGTCTGTGTCTTCTGTCTGTCTGACTTCGTGACAGTTGGACAGACAGACAGACAGACAGACAGACAGACAGACAGACAGACAGACAGACAGACAGACAGACAGACAGACAGACAGACAGACAGACAGACAGACAGACAGACAGACAGACAGACAGACAGACAGACAGACAGACAGACTGACTGACTGACTGACTGACTGACTGACTGACTGACTGACTGACTGACTGACTGACTGACTGACTGACTGACTGACTGACTGACTGACTGACTGACTGACTGACTGCTGTCCTGACTTCTGATTACTTTGTTCAGACCCCTGACATCCAAACTGTCACTTCGTCTTTGAAACATTTTAACCCTCGCAAGATTGATTTAATATGAGTTAATTAAATTTAAAAAATAAAATTGAAAATTATGAATTATCAATTGTTTTTCCAGCCGACCGAAAAATCTTCAAAATGTTCTGAAAATGCTATAATACATCTTCAACAATGTGCCTTCTGAAGAAAAGCAGGAAAATATCGAAGTAACCGAAACAATGCAAGTGTATCTACTATAAGGTAACACGGCCTTTGAAGCGTCCGACCACTGTAGGAGCGGATCGAATTTGAAGAAAAGAAAATCACATTTCTCCAAGATAGGGCAACTGCGCAAGGTAATTATTGCTCACGAAAACTCCCGTATAGTCATTTCAGAGCAAACACACAGTACGATCGTAAAATGGCAAGTGCTCGCGGGGTATTCCAATCCAAACGCCAGCGTCCATTCAAACTGAAAACCGTTCCAAAACGAACAACCTGAGAGCACGTACACAACTGAAAGGTGCAGAAGCAGCACAAAGATCGGAATTCAGGCGAAAGAATTCAACCGTATGACCCCTCCACCTGCTCCAGCTGAGATAAAACTTATGATTGCTAAGGTAAGAGAAGTTTATCCCTCCAACCCATTGACGATAGCTTGACCCGCCGGCGGCCCACACTTTCAGCCGAAAAGACCCGTCTCGCTTATTATATTTCGCATTTTTTGTGTTCGAAAAGGTGACCGGATACACTATGGGGTCTGAGAAGCAATGTAATCGTCCAGTAATAAAGTTATTGAAGAAGAAACGACTTTTGACGAAAAAAAATATGGAAATAGATGCCGCAATGCAAGCACAACGGTGGTCGTTAATGGGTTAAAACTTGCCCGGGGCATGAAACTGAAAGCAAGCAATGCACATTACAATGGACATGAAAGGTACGCATATGGGTGCTATACAAGTAGGGTGGGCACGCCGCATTTTTTGAACAGAAATGTATGTAAGTGGGACTGCTGCCCGCTACTATACTGTCACGAGAATCGGGGAATTCGTGAGCCAGGGGGAGTGTAGCCAATCTAGGGGGTGGGGGTGAGGGCAGTCACTTGACATGCGTGAAAGCTGGGTGTATAGACCCGCATATGTATACCTCCTCAAAGAAATGAGTAAATTATGCAAGAGAGAGAGAAAGTAAAATATCAAAACTCCGAATTGGTAAGAGACATTCACTATGGCACCGAAAATAAGCAGATCATGGAATTGGTCGATTCACAGGCTACTGACAGACCACACCTGTGAAAAAAGATGAGCTCCCACCCCGTCTTCATGAAAGTCACCGAATAGATGGTGATGCTGTCGAAAATGTAGCCGAATAAATCGGATTGCTGTCAGGGGGTGAAACAGAAATTACTCAAGGCTGGAAGACAGATGTTCTAATACTTCGCGCTATCTTCTATGGATTATGGGTTATGTTGCATTAATTAATGAGGATATTGCAGGGACAGTCTAACCTGTAATACGTTTCTGTTCTAATTTTACGACTCCTTATTGGGCGAAGTAGTGTGCGTGAGAAGTGGCAATATTTACCGGGTGTGCGGCGCGATCAAATCTGGGTCGTGGTCGTCACGGGCCAACTAAGTTGTCTAATCTGATTCGCAGGACTTGTCTGGAGGAGAAGGAACACTTCTCGTACGGCTGGGGCTGTAGCCACGTCATGTGCATAGGCCAAATTGCATCAAATCGCCACTATGATTCAGAATGAAAATGGAATGCGTGGCGTATCCCAAAACGTGACCGATCAAAGCTGAAAGCTGTATCCTTTCCTCCTTTATATGGACTTTAAGGGTGTGCGTTGGACCTTAGCTTTTTCGAGTCCTTGAAATTTGAAAATTAGCGAACAGGCCTTAGAAACAGCACTAGTGGTTCGAGAATTGGTGCAGAAGAACCAGATGGTACGACTATAATGGAACATGAGTGTTCCTAGCCCTGGTCATAAAACGGATTGAACCTGGTGATGGCCGTGATGTTGTGTACAACAGGTGCGCGAAAGATATTCATCTACGTACATACATTGATGACTGATCACTGCCCTGATTCACCAACACAACATGGCACCGTTCGCGCCATCATCTTTCTTTACTGAAGTACGGAACCGGGCTACAGCTTGATTGAAAGGAATAAAGCATACGGCGTTATCAGTTCGTATCTGGAATGCGCCATGTATTCTATTTTCATTCTAATCGTACGCAGTGACGTTTTGAATACGGTTTAGCTCTACGAGGACCAAAAAGCGTCAGCCCGATCATATTTTGTTCGGCGCTTTTGTTCTCGCAGACAATTCCGGGATGGGAAGCTCGGTGGGCCTGGACGAGGCACGACCCAGGATTCGATCCCCGAACCGCGCACGAATAGCGTCACTGGCCACTACACCACTTCCGCCCTCATTGGTGGGTTGACAGTCATAATATGCAGTGTAAGCGAGAACACATGGCTAGAATTGTATTAATGGGAGAAGAGAGAGAAGGAGGAGGAAGCTGTGGGGCAGAGTGTACCACACGTTGGTAAAGATCTACGATGGGGTCGTATTTCTGGTTTATACGTAGGTATTGTGGTCGCAAGAGGAGGAGGTCATATTTGGGATTTTTGGTAGTTACTGTTCCTTTAGTCAGTTCATCGCCGTCCCATCCCCTGCTTGGAGGCAAATGGCCAAATGCATGTGTACTAAACCAAATACTAAAATACTATAGGAGCAGCCAGCGGAAGGGGTGGTGGGGAAGGGGGTAAGGGGCTAGTGCTAGAGAACCCTTCAGAGTGGCTGGTAGTGGAGGAGGTCGTGTCGAGACCCTCTTTCGAGAGTAGCGTGAAAATTTCGAAATCGACACAGCGTAACGGTTGACTCTGCTGTGGAATCCAGTGGCCGTATACAATAGTCGCCGGCCAAACATTGGTCCCCAAAATTCTGCGTCTCTACCGGTGAAGCAGGGCCCATGGTCAAGAAGGTGAATGCATCCAGAGACGCAGATTTTTAGAGACCCATTTCCGGCTCGAGGCTTGCTGAACAGCAAATGCCTAGTTAACCTCCCTTTCAAAAAGCGAGGAAGTGTCGAGTGCAGATCAAACACCACAACTGACGACGGCCTCCAAGTAAATCTG